ATACCTGTAGAGTGCTTGTGACCATAGCAACGGTAAAAAACATCAGGAGATTTAACCTTAAAAGGCTTTATTCAAACTTGTTGGCTTTTCTGTAAACAGAATTTTATTACAATTGCAATTAAAATACCACTGTGTAAGAATCAAGACACCTACTACCATTGTGAAATTGTGCTTGTCCACTCATCTGAAGGTTCAATTAATTGGATTACTATGTACCATATCAAAATCAATATTTACAGCTTAATTCCACAAAAGTAACAAAACGGAGGAATTTTGTTTGTGTTTGTGCTCTGGAGAGCAATGCTCTTTCAAAATATTGCTCAATAGAAATTATTAAACTTGTATAATCTTGAAATATACCCAAAACAGACTCATACCCAATATAAACTAGACTCATACCCAATATAAACTAGACTCATACCCAATATAAACTAGACTCATATCCAATATGAACTAGAATCATACCCAATATGAACCACACTCATACCCAATATGAACTAGATTCATACCCAACATGAACTAGACTCATACCCAATATGAACTAGACTCGTATCCAATATGAACTAGACTCGTATCCAATATGAACTAGACTCATATCCAATATAAACTAGACTCATATCCAATATGAACTAGACTCATACCCAATATGAACTAGACTCATATCCAATATAAACTAGACTCATATCCAATATGAACTAGACTCATATCCAATATAAACTAGACTCATATCCAATATGAACTAGACTCATACCCAATATGAACTAGACTCATATCCAATATGAACTAGACTCATATCCGATAGTCTTAACTAACCAGAAACTTTAGTTTACAAAAAAAGAAAAGAACCCAAATTCATACTTAATCAGAAATGTAAGTATTCAAACCAAATCCAACCTAGAGAAAAGAAACTCAGTCATTACTCAAGTAGTATTTATACTACTTATACACAATTATAAATTCTTGTCATAAATATACCGAACATAAAACTAAAGCCATATCCAATCAAAAATTCTAATCATACACAACTAGAAATGGAACTTTTATCATACAGAAAGTTTACAAACACCCAAGTTCTTCCACATAAAGACAGGCTTTTGATTGATGTTAAGTCTTGAACCTAATGATATTAATTTTAATCTATATTAAATCTAATTAAGATTAATTATCTCAGACATTCCTTTCTTTGTTTTAATTAAAACTTTTCAAGTGAATCAGAATCTTAACTTATAATTATGAAAGATTATTGACTTTTATGAATTGGGTGTTCCAGTCCAGATATCAAATGAATATGAAACATTGTTAAGTTTGTACTTCAGTTAAAGTTTTTTCTGAATGTACAGGTATATTATTAGATTCTCATATGCCTTTGATAATCGTGATGCTCTTATAATCTACAGTGATGCACTTTGGATACATGATGATGCTCTTATGATACATTGTGATGCTCTTATGGTCAATGGAACATTTATAAGCAAATTTTGATAAACTACATGTTCATTTGGTGATGTCTTAATAATTCCAGGCGATGTCCTTATGATTCCTGGTGAGCCTCTTACAACAAATGATCATTCTATTTCCATCCATGGTGATGCTCTCCCAAGGAAAATCTGTACCCAAACTTTTTCAAAATAAAAAAATAATAATTCAATTTGAAGAGTATGCCTGATACTGAATGTTTGAAAAGCATGCTTTGATTTTTTATTTTTTGCTTTTTAATGTTTGGGTTACTCGTTTTCACTTGCAGTTTTATTTGAAAAAAAAAATGATGTTCTCAGAAAAACAGTGAGAAATCATAGTTTAATAATAAAATTGATAATAAAGAATATTGATTGATACAGGCTGTAGTTGATCTTTTACTTCTCTTTCATCTATTCTACAAATTATCACCACTTATTTTCTTTTCACAAAACCTGACACAAATTACAACACAAATTGTCAATTTTACACTCAAAAAATATCAGTCTTTGAATGCAGCCTTATTATTCTTCTCTTGACACTAATTAAAACAAATTGTAAATCTTATAGCCAAGAAAATACATTTTCCGCTAAAATATTATACTGGTGAACAAAAGGTCAAGAAAATCACCATTTATTTTATTTTCTAACTAGAGATAACAATTTTTTGATTTGGTCTAAATCAGAGATTTTTGTCCCAGATTAATGAGATTTATGTCTGTTGGTATTTTATCTTGTAAATTGTTTTATAAGAGTAAAATCAATACAGGGGTAGCAGGGTATTTCCACTTTTAACAAATCCAATTCAGACAAAAATTTAGTCTGCCTAAGTTTAGCATTCTGACTAGCATTGGACAAGTTTTCCAAGTTTATCAAGATCATTTCCAAGTTCCAAGTGTAGACAGGTCATTTCTAACAAGGTCAAATTCTAAAAGTTCTAAGATTAGCAAAGTTAATTCTGAAAAATCCAAATTCTGACAAGTTCAAGGTTTAGCTAAGTTCCACTGAAGTATATAAACTAACTTAATTCTAATAGGTATAATTCTGACCAGTCTAAAGTATAGATATGCTTATTCTTATAGGTCTTATTAAGACAAGTGCAAGGTTAAGCACTTTGTTTGAGTGTAGTGCCAGGCAGGGTATAATTACTCTTCTAGATATGTGATACCACTTTTCATTAAAATACTTTGTAATTTATGATTGATATACTTCCTCATATGAAAAGTTTATTAGCTGTAATTGATGAATTGCCAAACTGTCATTTTGTATTTTAGGTTTTGGTTTGAGGTTCGGATTGTTAGTACTCAGATTTATTGTTTGTTTTGGAAATTATCTAATGAATAACGATCATATATTCAAAACCTCTTCCTAAATATTTTCAAAAAATAATAAGCCTAGCCATTAGGGCATCATAAACTGAATTCTTTGATAAAAAAAATCAATAAAATCACTTGAAGGTTAATTATATCCAATTGTAAGGATTTATATTTAAATACTAATACAATCCTATCAAATCATCAAACCCTTGCTATATAATAGCCAAATCATTTTCAATCACAACTGGGCATTAGACGAGTATTAGGCCTGAAGGAATGCTAAGCCATCAAGTGAGACGTGATCTTACTCTGAACTTTCAGACACTATACAATATCAGCATTGATAATCAACATTCCATCATTGAAATGAATTTCTTAAGGCATTTTTCTCCATTTCTAATGTTTTCATTCAAATTTTTCAATGGGAAATTCTTAAGGAGAACAACAGTTTGCCATTTTGATGGTAACCATTATGGAATCATAAACTTACATAAATAAATGTCTGCAGAACTTATGTATTAGTGATGTTGATAATGAAGGTGGTCCTGGATTCAAGAAATCACAAGTTCTTCAAATCAAAATTCAACACATTAATCATTATGAAAGAACTTTGAAGTTGTAATCCCTTCCAACGTGAAAAATGTAGTAAATTGATCAACGGGGATTCATATCAACTGTGCTCAAAAGACGAAACTCTATATCATTTGTTAAGTGTAAATCAAATTTAAATATTTTTTCTTAAATGCCTTAAAACTTTTGACACTCTTCAAGACCAAAAAAAAAAGAAAAATTTTTTGAGAAAATAATCTCTTGATGAGTCAATAAATTTACTCATTCATATAAAAAAACAAACCCAAGTACAAATGATCCGAACTGCAAAACAAATCCCGAAATCACAAATAAGATTTTGGGAATACATTGGTAGCAGCAATATGCTATTCATGCGAGGAAGTATATTAATTATGCATGACGAAGGTATATATGCCTAATTTTGGAATGGTCACACATAAAAACTGTTAAATATCCCTTTTAGGTACCATATTACTTGAGAAAAACTACCACATGACAAATTAAGTAGGCAATTTGATAGGAATATTGGTAGGGTAATATCAAAGTAATTTTATTACTATAACAATGCCAGCAAGTGTCATGATAATTGGATCAAACTTGACTACCATAAAGAACACAAAAATGTGGCAGAAGAGAAATGATGGATGGGTTTAGAATGAAAATAACAAAGGATTAATAGTACACAGTGTATGAAACCTGGTTTTATTTTTATTAATTCCCACTCTCTTCTTCAGTCTGTTATGAAAGAAAGCTTTTTCTCTTGGAATCGGACGGCCAAGTGACAAGAAATTGGTATAAATACATCTAAATTAACCTAACACAGTGTTTGTTCATGCCTGATAGAGAATGAGTAAATTTACTCCGAGTTGCATTCACTGACTTTATCTGCATATTCCTTAAACACGTTGCTATGGCAACATATTAATGAGTCCCGTGTAAATGAAGGCTAGTAGAGATAGTCCGTGAAATGCTTGAATACCCATAATTTGATATTAAAACGATTAAAGTGTCCGTTTTCTTGTTCAGCTTTACATAAAGAAAAGAGAGTGAAAGAAAGATAAGGAGTTCTATTCAGTCTCGAATGCAGCATTTACATTTAACTTAATGAGTATACAAAGAAAAAAACCCGTCCTAAATACACAGAAACTTTTTAGATGAAAGATAGACAAAATAATTGGCTTGAGAAGTTGGAATTCAGAAGAGTTTTCATGTATTTGATTTAATGATAATGATACAGTTTCCATTCACAGAATTTTCTCTTTCTTAAGCAAGCTTATACTTGAAAATAGTACTTGGTAGTAACAATTAAGAAAAAATTTATATGGTTTTCAAGCTTTTCAATTAATGGCTTATGAACATGAAGCTTTTACAAAACAAGTCAATAGAGCATGGCAAAAATCACAAAACACATGAAGAAAAAGATGACACATGTAGAAAAAGATGACACATGAAGAAAAAGATGACACATGTAGAAAAAGATAAAACATACACGTGAAGAAAAAGATAAAACATACACGTGAAGAAAAAGATTATCACAACGCATGTAGGAAAAGAAAACTCACATACATACAAAAAGATAACACAACTCGTGAAGAAAAAGAAAACAACAAATGAAGAAACACATCACACATCACATGAAGAAAAAGATAACACAACCAAGTAAAAGATAACACAACACTTGTAGAAACAGATGACACAGCACATGTAGAGATTGATTACAAGATACATTACGAAAAAGATAACACAACACTTGAAGAGAAAGATAACAGAACACATCATGAATTAAAATATAACAGAACACATGAATTAAAGTATAGAACAGAACACATGAAGAAAAAGATAACAGAACACTTGAAGGAATTGCTAACACAACCCATGTGCAAAAGATAACTTAACACTGGAAGAAAAAGATAACACCACCCATGTAGAAAAAAAAATAACACAATATGTAAATAAAGATAACACGCTACATGTAGATATATGTTAGCAATGTTTGACATGGTTGCTTGTCAGATAATGTCATATGTATTATTTTACATAGCATGGAGTTATGACCATTTGTTGTTTTTGCCTACTTAGTGAATTAGGGTTCAAAAAAGGTGTAGGTGCATGTTAAAAGCATTATCATAGAATTTTGAGTATGCTCTTGGGTCTGCACCATGTGGTACTGAGTATTTGATTCTTCAAGTGCTGTATCAATTATTCCAACTGGAAATAAATCAAAAAAAAAGTCCAGAAATCTCAAACTTCTATGATATAAAGTTAGAATAATTGATAAAATGGCTGAGACACTTGTTTGATTTGATCGTCAATTCCCCCCTGGTCTGTTGAAACATTCTAACATTGATCATAGTAATTGACTCCATTTGATTATGTGCTGTCATGCTTAATTAAGCCAAGCTAGTCAATGCTTAATACCCAATCACTAAGTCATCCTGACATGGAAACAATATGATAAACATCTGAACAGACTCATTCCTATATATAGTAGAAAAAATAAGCTTCATCTAAATATCATCCTTTCAGGGGGATACATAAGCTTCAAGTTAAGTTGGTTATAAAAATATTCTATTCATTTACAAAAATATGCACTGACAGAATTAAAACAAAATTGATTGTTTTGTCCTACTTGTCTGCTAATTAGTTTAGGCTAATGAAGACTGGCATTGTCATGTATTATTTTAACAGAATCAAAAAAATTGTGTATAAAGGGAGATGTGATTCTATCACACTTCTTGTAATTTTGAAGTTACTGAACCTTTAATTCAGATAATCAGACTTCACTGACTGACCAATCCAGAAACTAGAAACATCGATTAACCCAAATACAGAAACTATGGTGAACTCTTAATAATTCTAATCAGATATTGTTTTACCATGGAACCATTCTCTGTCTGCTACAATAGTCTTGTGACAACAGAGAATAACATGGTGCCAACATTTAGTAAATATACTTCAACCTGTCCACATTTCCAAATCTAAATAAAAGTCAATTTCCTACGGGTGGACTATCTAATGGCCAATTTCCTATGTCTGTGCTTGCTCCACGCTCGTATCAAGTAAATGAACATCTTGTTAATGAAGCTAGCGAGATGGTTGAAATTTTATATGTAAATCAACTGGTAAGAGCTTGTCAGACATCAGCCTGACCTTTTTCATAAGCTAGCCATATTAAAGGGACATTCAAATAATGTTTCTGAATAGTATGCTTTGTGAAAGCCAAATACACTTTAACCCCAACTTGCCAATTAGCAAGATGGTTGAAATTTTATGTGTAAGTCCAACGGTAAGAGTTTGTCAGACATCAGCCTGACCTTTTCATGCAGCTGGATAATTAAAAAAAAGCAATTTGACTGTCTAACTACTTTTAAATGTATGTTTAATCCTAATTGGCCAACAACGTTTAAGGGACATTGGCCAGATGATTTCCGAATAGTAGAATAAAAAGTATTTTTGACTGCCTAAACCACTAAAAATAACTCTTTAACCCAAACTTGCCAACTACAAAGGGACATTTACATCTGAAGAGCGAAATTTAATATCAGCTTTGATCCTGATTTCAGAATAATGCTTTGACTGCCCAAAACCCTGGTCATTCTTTCAGAATAATAGTTTCAATGAAAGAGTTAATGAAATAGTTTTCAATTAATTTATTATGAGAATCTTTTTTCATTTTAGATCTATGTTAGAAGTACTGAGAATTTCCATTTGAACATACAAACCTGAGCCAGTGCCTTCTGTTAAATAATGATTTTCAACCACCCTTTCAAATGCACCTTTAACACAAACTTACCAAATTAAAGTGGAAGAAAAAGAATTGCCAAGTTGATGTAGTAAAGCAAATTGGAAGAAGGCCACACTATACAGTGGCTTGTAATCAACATTTTGCAACAATAAGAGCTAAAAATCTACCTAAACTCTTTTCCATTTCCAGAAGTTAATGAATCTTTATTATGCACAGCATGTAACTTAATTTTTTGTGAAGTGGATTACAGATGATAACAAGACAAAAAACAAAATGGCATCCCTTTAATATAGGAAATGGCCAGGTTGTATGTTGTTATTAAGTGAAGAGTTCTCAATAAAATAATGTCTCTAAATATTCATCTTATTTCTACTTGATTAATCAAACAGACGCTTTAACAAGTTTATTGGAATAATTCCTGAAAGTTGTCAGTATCACAGTCATAGCCAATCTGAAATTTGGAATCAAAGCGAAATAGTACCAGAAAGTATTCTACCTAAATGTATTATCTAATCTAAATGAATTAAAGGGACAGATGCATCTTTTAGACCAATCATACTTTAGTCTCAGAAACGGGAATTTTTTAGCTGAGCAAACCAGTAATAGTGTTCACATTCCACTGTCAAAATTTGACTCTTAAAATCCATGTTTGTCCAGAATTATCTGCGTTTGAATGTTAAATTGATGACTCGTCATTTGAAGATACTCTGTGATATATTGAAAAGACATATATTGAAATAGTGAGTAAAATTCATATTGTGAGATATTTTTAAAGGAATTTATGCGATTTTTGTACATTAAAGTACAACTGAAGAAAGACTATTACATATATTCAACACTCAAATCAACCCAAAAATAGCTACTGTGCATTTAAGAACTTAAGCCAGTAGAGCAATAGCAATAGGGCCATCGTCTCATTATATATCTGCTTCCATCTCAACACAGTTGAGAGAGTCTTTTTGGGCTTTTTATCCTTTACCGTCTTCATTAAAAATCAAAGTGAAATTTTACAGAGATTACAATAGCTTATGATGTGTAATTAGATTTTTTTCATCTCAACCTGAAGGAATAAATTGAAATTTTAGATTCAGTTATCAAAACATTCCTAAAAATCTACCGCTCATGAAAAATACCACCTTAAACTTAAGCTAACCTAGTTCCTTTAACCAAACAGCTGAATATCCAAGTAATAAAAATAATGCTAGCATGATATGTAACAATATACAGTAGTACAGACATGTCACTTTAATTTGCGGCATTAAATTGGTTGTGAATCAGACTAGATCATTTATTCTGACATCTAAGATAATTTGACGTCATTGAAAATACAGTAGAAATATCTTGACATATTATAGGTCTAATTAAAGCAGTCAGCCATGTGTAAAGTTGCCTTCTAAACGACAACCAATCAATAACTAAAATGTATTTTTATGGACGTTGGTAATTTAATCAAAAGAATATGACTGATGTCTCAGATATTTTTTGCTCTCTGCATAAAGTGGAGACTCGTATTAGAATTTTACACACACAGTTTTACAACAGAATGAAATAAATAATTCTGTATTTGATTTCAACATAATTATTTTATGATATACTTTTATAATTTATAACTTAGAGCTCTACAATAGCCTGCTGGTATTAATATATATTACAAATATGATGCAGAATTTGTCAAATATCTTATAGCTTAGAAAGATACTATGAAGCATATTTCACACCATATATGCTCTATATCAGCTGTGATACCTTATATTATATTAATATTTCAGTCATTGTGTCTTTTTATTTCAATCTGTAAATTTTGACTTTAGAGGTTTCATTCATTGTGCCTTGATATTTGCCATTTTTTTTTCATTTGCCATACCATTATACTAGTTGAATTGCCCATCATTTCAGTTGTCACTCCTTGACAAACCTGAATCAGTGTAAAACCTCAACATTAGCTGAATTCCTTTTTTCAGTTGTTTTATGTTGACAAAAAGTGAATTATATTTCAGTCATTGTGCCTAGCTGAGTTACCCTTAATTTTAGATGTTATACCTTGACATTAGCTGAATTATCTATATTTCAGTCATTGAGCCTAACTAAGTTACCCTTTATTTTAGATGTTATACCTTGACATTAGCTGAATTATCTATATTTCAGTCATTGGGCCTAACTAAGTTACCCTTTATTTTAGTTGTTATACCTTGACATTAGCTGAATTATCTTTATTTCAGTCATTGTGCCTAGCTGAGTTACCCTTTATTTTAGATGTTATACTTTGACATTAGCTGAATTATCTTTATTTCAGTCATTGAGCCTAACTGAGTTACCCTTTATTTTAGTTGTTATACCTTGACATTAGCTGAATTATCTTTATTTCAGTCATTGAGCCTAGCTGAATTACCCTTTATTTTAGTTGTTATACCTTGACATTAGTTGAATTATCTTTATTTCAGTCATTGTGCCTAACTGAGTAACCCTTTATTTTAGTTGTTATACCTTGACATTAGTTGAATTATCTTTATTTCAGTCATTGTGCCTAGCTAAGTTACCCTTTATTTTAGTTGTTATACCTTGACATTAGCTGAATTATCTTTATTTCAGTCATTGAGCCTAACTGAGTTACCCTTTATTTTAGTTGTTATACCTTGACATTAGCTGAATTATCTATATTTCAGTCTTTGAGCCTAACTGAGTTACCCTTTATTTTAGTTGTTATACCTTGACATTAGCTGAATTATCTATATTTCAGTCATTGAGCCTAGCTGAATTACCCTTTATTTTAGTTGTTATACCTTGACATTAGTTGAATTATCTTTATTTCAGTCATTGTGCCTAACTGAGTAACCCTTTATTTTAGATGTTATACCTTGACATTAGCTGAATTATCTATATTTCAGTCATTGTGCCTAGCTGAGTTACCCTTTATTTTAGATGTTATACCTTGACATTAGCTGAATTATCTTTATTTCAGTCATTGTGCCTAGCTGAGTTACCCTTTATTTTAGTTGTTATACCTTGACATTAGCTGAATTATCTTTATTTCAGTCATTGTGCCTAGCTGAGTTACCCTTTATTTTAGTTGTTATACCTTGACATTAGCTGAATTATCTATATTTCAGTCATTGAGCCTAACTAAGTTACCCTTTATTTTAGTTGT